AAAAAAAAGAACAAACAACAAACCCAAAACAGCTCGGCAATTGATTTATTTTTAAAATCTCATCATTTTGGTGCCAGTTTCATGATATTCTTTTTGAATGCCTGACTCATGGTTTTTYRGAGCGCTCGGTGTTGGCAGATCTGYGTGYRTGAGTGTGACAGCGTGTGAGCTCAGGGGCCCTCTGCTGATAGAGAACACAGGGCTGCTTCCACACAGGACTGCCCTGCCCCTCCAGGACTGATGAATGCTCCTTTAGTGCTGTTTCATTGCCAAGCAGGGTGTTTTCAAATTAAACCCCTCCCCAAAAAGGGGCCCTGGCGCTGGCCATTGAGTCATTGTGCTGATGCTCAAGGAGAATAAACCCCCAGCACTGCCTCAGGGGTATTGAGGGCAGAGGGGTCAGGGTTAATTTGCAGYCTCCTGTGTGTAAGGATCTAATAAACAGCCTGTGAAGGTCAAACCTGTCGCTATCAGTGGCTTGTTCTGTGACCTTTCTCTCTCTCTGATCACTTTGTCTCTCTCCTGTCGGTGAGAGGGTGGCGGGTGCTGTTGCCCAGGATGGGTTGTGGGTATTGGTTATTGTATAAACTGTGCTTTGAAGATGAAAAATATCTTGGGAGATGCTTAAAGCTCTTGACAAGCATCTGTGCTCCTTTYGCAGGAACCCAGCAGAAGGCAAAGTGCCTGGATGCTTTGTCACAGGCAAAATCTGCTGCGTGTGCAGCTCCSAGAGGCAGGGCTGGGAGCTTCCCAAGGCTTCTCATGGCCCTGGAATTATTCCTGGGTGCTCATGCTCCTCACTTGCTTGGGAGAGAGGTGTCACAGKGCAGGCAGTGCCAGGGGCTTTTCACAGCATGGGCTGGAGCAGAGCAGCAGAGCTGTGCCTGGACCCATCCCTGCATTATCTGCACCAGGTTCCATCCCTGCATTATCCATTCCACATCCCATTCCAGCATTATCTGCTCACATCCCATCCCTTCATCATCTGCACTGGGTCCCATCCCAGCATTATCTGCACCAGGTCCATCCCTGCATTATCTACTCACATCCCATCCCCAGCATCCACCCCACATCCCATCCCTGCATTATCTGTTCCACATTCCACCCCTGCATTATCTGCACAAGGTCCCATCCCTGCATTATCTGTTCCAGGTCCCATCCCTGCATTATCTGCACCAGGTCTCATCCCTGCATTTTCTGCTCACATCCCATCCCTGCATTATCTGTTCCAGGTCCCATCCCTGCATTTTTTGCACCATGTTCCACCCCTGCATTTTCTGCTCACATCTCATCCCTGCATTATCTGCACCAGCTCTCATCCTAACATTTTCTGCTCCACATCCCATCCCAGCAAGCATGAAGCTGAGTTCCACGTGCTTCTCCAGCTTTGGCAATGTCCCCAGACGATGGATGGGGTGTGGATGCTCAGGGAGGCTTGGCCCAGCTGTGAAATATTCAGGAAGAGTTTTATGGCTTTGGATTTGCTGTTGCCTGGTGCGGGGTTGGATCCCCACCCAATAAAGCATCTCCTAGTTGCTGGTTTGCATAAAACTGGTGGATGTATCTTTGAAACCCCATGACTGGCTGACTCCATGGAGGGTGCCAGAGTTATGCAGCAGATTTATTACACAGCATAATCACAAAGCCCTCGTTTTCTTGGGCAGCTTCCTTTGGCTCSGTGTGGCTCATCAGGATGCAGGGATTGTGCCAGAGCAGCTCTCCGTGGATCTCCCTGCCCATGCCGTGCTCTCAGCTCCCTGCCAGCCCTAACTGTGCCTTTTCTCTCCAAGGGAAGAAGCGATGCTGTCCACCTACTTCGAAACCATCAATGACTTGCTCTCCTCCTTCGGGCCCGTCCGGGACTGCTCCCGCAACAACGGTGGCTGCACCCGCAACTTCAAATGTGTCTCGGACCGCAAGGTGGACTCCACGGGCTGCGTGGTACGTGCTGGGGCTCTGGGGGAGGTGCTGGGGCTGTGGGGTGGGTGCTGCTGCTGTGGGGTGGGTGTTGGGGCTGTGGGGTGAGTATTGAGGCTGTGGGATTGGTATTGAGGCTGTGGAGTGGGTATTGAGGCTGTGGAGTGGGTATTGAGGCTGTGGGGTGGGTACTGGGGCTCTGGGGTCAGCATTGAGGCTGTGGAATGGGTACTGAGGTTGTGGGGTCGGTACTGAGGCTGTGGGGTAGGTATTTGGGCTGTAGAGTGGGTATTGGGGCTCTGGGGTAGGTTCTGTGGATGTGGAGTAGGTAAAGGGACTGTGAGATAGGTGCTGGGGCTGTGTGGAGTTGGTTTTGAGGATGTGGGGTAGGTGCTGGGGTTGTGGGGTAGGTGCTGAGGATCTGGGATAGGTGTTGGGTGTATGGGATAGGTGCTGGGGCTATGGGGTCCCCTGGGCTGGCCTCTGGTTTGGGGACAAGCCAGGGGCAGTTATGACCTGCCCCTCTGGCCCAGGGGATGTGTGTGCTGGAGGAGTTCCCCCACTGCTGGGGCCTTCATGGCACATCACAAACCCCTTAAAGACTCAGGGGAAGCAGCCCAGGTGCTCAGATGAGCAAAAGAAAAACTGCTTGAGGCTGGTGGTTGTTTTCCTGCTTGTCAAGAAGCAGGGGTGGAAAGCTGCCTCGCTTTTTCTCCTGCCTTGGGCTGCCCAGTGTGGAAGAAAGATGCAGCATCCTCCCCTCCTACCTCCCTGTGGGCATCTCTGACACCCTCAGGGGGTTGATTTGTTTCTGAACGTGCTCATGTCTTGCCAGACAATCTGCTGAGTCCCAGGTTTTGCAGTCCACAGGACCTTCTAGACCCTACACCATTTGTTTTGGGCAGAGGGTGTGAATCACAGAATCCTAGAAGGGTTTGGATTGGAAAGGACCATAAAGATCGATTTGTTCTAGCCCCTTACCATGGGCAGGGACACCTTCCACTAGCCCAGGGTACTCATATCCCTGTCCACCCTGGCCTTGGCCACTTCCAGGGAGGTGTTCCCGGCCACTGATGCCCAGAGGGGCTTTGCTGTGCTTCCAGGTGGGAGCAGCATCTTGCCCAGCTCTACCCCATTGACAGCAAAGTCATCCCTTCCCCGTGTGAGGAACTCRTGTGAATCCAGTGTGGCACTCAGAGTCAGAGGGCAGAGCCTTGGGGAGCAGCAGGAATCTGGAGCATCGCCTTTAGTCTGTGTGTTGTTGAAGCCCCTGTGTGCCAGGAAGCCGTGGTGACCCTGAAGAGAGTTCAGAGCTGTCACCTCTCCATCAGCCCCTCAAACACACACACTCCGCTCCTAAACCCCTGAAACCCCTCATCTCTCTGCAGCAGAGCCCCCTCAGCCCATCCCTCCCCTCAGCAGAGGCAGGAGATAAATGTCTCTTTATTTATTGAAGATGTTTGTACACGGCAGCTGGGAAAGGTCAGGCTGGAGCCGCGCTGTCCCGGGGGGGAGGCGTTTTCATTATCCCCTTCTCAGGTTGCTTGTTAAGGCCATTTAGCACGACAGTCTGATGTGTCACCAGCAACGCCTGCTGCCATCTCCCCTTTGCTTCTCCTCTCCCCTTCCTCCTTTCTTTCCCATTTTCATTTTTATTTTTTCACTCTTTTTTCCAAGGAGCAGCTGCCTTTCTAGTCTTTTGGGTTGTTTTCTGCCTTTCTAGTCCTTTGGGGTGTTTTTCCCTTTTTTTGGGTGTTATTTTTCTCTGAACACCAAGGTGCTTGCCCAGGCACTGTCTGAAGCAATCAGGGCTCTGGTTGCCCCACTCCTCTGGGAAACGATGCCACTTTTTAAAGTCARGATACATTAAGGTAGAAATTGTCAATAAATTACAGGCCTAGTGGTGGCATGTGGASRGGCAGAAAACTGTGTCATTTGGGGRAAATACCCCTCCTCAGCTTCTGTAACACCTGACAGAGGCTGTGTGTAAAGGGAATGGATCATGAACAGTGAAGGGACCCCACTGCATCCCATCCCAAATCTCTCTGTTTCCCTTTAGACTGACCCCAGACAATGTTGCCTAGCTCTCCCAGCCTTGTGCAGTGTTTTATTCTTATCACCTATGTGATGTTCCTGGCAAAGGAGGGGCATGAGGAGAGGTGTAGAAGGGACCATCCTGTGTTTCTGATTGTGCTCCATAGCCATTGTCCAGGGAAAACCCTCCTGGATGGGCTGGGTTGTGCTCACGGTGCTGAGTGGAATCACAAGTGATGGGAGTGGAGTCTCAGCACTCACACAGCCCCCATTTGTGAYATTCTGGTACTTTCTTTGCCCATCCCTGCACTGCCCCTCCCCATTCCAGCCCCTCTCCTGGAGCCTGCTGGGTGTGAGCTGTGCTTCCAGTGYGAGCAGGGATGGGGTCACGCGCTGCAAATTTTCAGGGATGTCAGTTGGTTTTGAAGCTGAACCGCTGTGAACTCAATTTGCCAATTTGGTAAGTGCTATGGGCAATATCGGGATGTAATTTAATTAAGCTATCCCCTTTTTATAGAGTTCAGGGAGCATTTGCCTACTAATTTTAGCACCAGGTTTGCTCCAGCTTCGCTCTGGACACGGATTCACAAATCATGACATGTTGTTAATCTCCACCAGTCAACAGTTTATTAATTTGCCGAGGACCACAGAAGTATATAATCAGTGGTTCATCAATCAAGGCTAAATCCAACAAATGTTCCAGGCAGGTACTGAGCATAAAATATACATGCAGCCTTGTAAGCAATTAATGCACCACAGAGCTGGAGCCGAGCGGCTCAACCGGGGAGCAGCACAAATCTCCAAGATTTCTTATTCCTTTTATATACAATCATCATCTGTTACCAGTTCCTTCGTGCCCTTAATACGGCTTCCAGTAATTCTGCCAGGACTGGGATGCATTTATCTCTGGGTTTTTAGCAGCGTGGGCTCTGCCATTTCCTAATTGTTTGGCCCTAAAAGGTCTCGGTTGAAGAGTCAAGGGCGGATTGCTCGTGGCTCGTGCTGGAGCCTGGCTGGGTCTCCTTGGGCTGATGATGGAGAGGAAGAAGGATGTTCCTCGGCTCAGTTAAAATCTTGCTTTGTAGGCATCGCTTGAAGACCCTAAAACCTCTCTAGCTGCATCATCACTCGCAGCTCTCCACCTGCCATGCYCTGTTTCCCATGGGATTCCTTTTCCCCCACCATCTCATGGTTTTCTATTAGTTTGATGTGTACCCAGTAGATGGCATGAGTGCATAAAGGGTTTCTGCAGTTCTTTTCTTATCGGAGGACTTTTAAAAAWTCATGTAATTTTAGGAATTGTCAGTTGTAACCTTGCTAAGACCTTGGCATAGCTAACTGGAGCCTTGAGTTTGAGCCCTAACATAATCAAACAACCCCCAAGCTCTGGAAAACCTGCTTCTGTGCTGTTGTGGGTTTTTTGTTTTTTTTTTTGTTTTTTTTTTTTTTTTTTTTTTTCCTTATTGCACCCTATAACTGGTGATGGATCTGATCTAGCTGTGGGCATTTCCCAAGAAAACAAAATGCCAGTGAGTTTCTCTGAATCCAGTGGCTCTGCACATTGAGTCCAGTGTGTGTTTCRTAGCATCTTGCAGGGATCACAGCAAACCAGGAGAAAATGTGCTGAAGGAATAATTCACATTATATTGCTGATCCTTTCCACTGGCACGGTGGTAGCTGCACAGCCTGGAGGGAGGATGCTGAAGGAGGGAAAATGCTTAACCCTCATGTGTTGGTGATTTATAATTTGAGATGAAAACCTGTGAATTGGCCCTGAGAGACCGAAGGAAACACCTGCATCATGGYTTAAATTCAGCTTTTCCCAGCTGTCTCTCAGATTGGCTTTGCTCACTGGTGCCAGTCCTCTCTTCTACCTGAGGAGAAGGGGGGTTGTTTGCATCTACTGTCCCATGGCTGTGAGCATTTTTGAGCCTAGAAAGGTACAATTACAACGCCAGGAAAATGAGAGGGATGAGTTTTTTTCCCAAAGGAATGGGAGCTTTGGTCTTGCCACATGAACTGGGCAAGGAGGTTCTCTCTGTTCTCTCCGAGATCACGTCAGGCATCGCCGTGGGAGGAAGCAGCAGGTACAGGAGTGCAGTGAAGGTGTCTGAGCCCCATGTTCCTCCCAGGATGGGGTGTCCTCACTAGGAGGATCACCTGGAGAAGCAAAAGGGTGCCAACTGCTTTGTTAGGGATGAGGAAGACAGTCCTTCCAAGAATTAGCCCTGTGTTTAAGATGTGAGCAGCCTCACTGCAGTGTGGTCTGATGGCTCTGCAACATCTGTGCGCCTGCAGATGATGCTGAGCTGGTTCTTTAACCCAAATTAGAGTGCCACAGGGGCTGAGGGTGTTGCAGGTGGATGTGGAAGGGCTAAAGCATGCTCCAGGATCCATCCCACCTTGGGAGAGGTGTGGCAAGAGCCTGGAGAGCCTTCCCAGCCCGGGCAGAGGGTGCTGTTCTTCTGCACAGACATRAAATCCTGCTGATCCTCACTGGCTCCCCTCTCACAGGCTCAGCTCTCTCTGGCAGAGATTTATTTCTAGTCTGAGCAAGAAAAAAGTACAGTWTGCCTTCAAGGATGATGTGAGGTGAGGGCAGCCCATCAGGGAGGAGGGAATGTGCCTGGCTCAGCAGGGACAGCATCTCCCAGAGAGTCCCTTAATGAAGTTGTGGCCCACGGTGACACTGATGTGGTGTCAGTCCCAGGCTCTTCAGACACAGAAGGAAGAGGAATTTAGCATGGTTCACACAGGAATATAAACCTTAGCACRGCTGGTTTGGGGCTAATCCTTCCCTTGCTCTCTCCCACCTCGGAATGATGGGCTGCTCCTCGCTGCTGCAGAGAAACTCCTTCACTTAGGAGTGGAACCGTTTYGGGGAGAAATGGGATTAGAAATGCAGGAGCAGGGCAGTGGCTGCAGCTTTGGTCTCCTCCTTCCACCACACATCGATGGGGAGATGCTTTGAAATTATGTGGATGATGTTG